GAAGGCCATCCCAGTTTGACAGAAGCCCAATGAATGCCATCCCAGTTTGACAGAAGCCCAATGAATGCCATCCCAGTTTGACAGAAGCCCAATGAATGGCATTCCAGTTTGACAGAAGCCCAATGAATGCCATCCCAGTTTGACAGAAGCCCAATGAATGCCATCCCAGTTTGACAGAAGCCCAATGAATGCCATCCCAGTTTGACAGAAGCCCAATGAATGCCATCCCAGTTTGACAGAAGCCCAATGAATGCCATCCCAGTTTGACAGAAGCCCAATGAAGGGCATCCCAGTTTGACAGAAGCCCAATGGATGCCATCCCAGTTTGACAGAAGCCCAATGAATGCCATCCCAGTTTGACGGAAGCCCAATGGATGCCATCCCAGTTTGACAGAAGCCCAATGGATGCCATCCCAGTCTGACAGAAGCCCAATGGATGCCATCCCAGTTTGACAGAAGCTCAATGGATGTCATCCCAGTTTGACAGAAGCCCAATGAAGGGCATCCCAGTTTGATAGAAGCCCAATGAATGGCATTCCAGTTTGACAGAAGCCCAATGAAGGCCATCCCAGTTTGACAGAAGCCCAATGAATGGCATTCCAGTTTGACAGAAGCCCAATGAATGCCATCCCAGTTTGACAGAAGCCCAATGAATGCCATCCCAGTTTGACAGAAGCCCAATGAAGGGCATCCCAGTTTGACAGAAGCCCAATGAATGGCATTCCAGTTTGACAGAAGCCCAATGAAGGCCATCCCAGTTTGACAGAAGCCCAATGAATGCCATCCCAGTTTGACAGAAGCCCAATGAATGCCATCCCAGTTTGACAGAAGCCCAATGAATGCCATCCCAGTTTGACAGAAGCCCAATGGATGCCATCCCAGTTTGACAGAAGCCCAATGGATGCCATCCCAGTTTGACAGAAGCTCAATGGATGTCATCCCAGTTTGACAGAAGCCCAATGAAGGGCATCCCAGTTTGATAGAAGCCCAATGAATGGCATTCCAGTTTGACAGAAGCCCAATGAAGGCCATCCCAGTTTGACAGAAGCCCAATGAATGGCATTCCAGTTTGATAGAAGCCCAATGAATGCCATCCCAGTTTGACAGAAGCCCAATGAATGGCATTCCAGTTTGACAGAAGCCCAATGAATGCCATCCCAGTTTGACAGAAGCCCAATGAATGCAATCCCAGTTTGACAAAAGCCCAATGAATGCCATCCCAGTTTGACAGAAGCCCAATGAATGCCATCCCAGTTTGACAGAAGCCCAATGAAGGCCATCCCAGTTTGACAGAAGCCCAATGAAGGCCATCCCAGTTTGACAGAAGCCCAATGAATACCATCCCAGTTTGACAGAAGCCCAATGAATGCCATCCCAGTTTGACAGAAGCCCAATGAATGGCATTCCAGTTTGATAGAAGCCCAATGAATGCAATCCCAGTTTGACAGAAGCCCAATGAATGGCATTCCCAGTTTGACAGAAGCCCAATGAAGGCCATCCCAGTTTGACAGAAGCCCAATGAATGCCATCCCAGTTTGACAGAAGCCCAATGAATGCCATCCCAGTTTGACAGAAGCCCAATGAATGCCATCCCAGTTTGACAGAAGCCCAATGAATGCCATCCCAGTTTGACAGAAGCCCAATGAATGCCATCCCAGTTTGACAGAAGCCCAATGAATGCCATCCCAGTTTGAATAAGCCACAATGAATGCCTTCAGGGCTTTGGGACTCTAACTCCCAGAAGCCCCAGTCGCGTTGGCCAACTGACAGGAATTCTGGGAGTTGAAGTCCAAAACACTAAAGAACTGTATTGGGGCAGCTTCCTAGCTCTGTGTTATCAAATACCCGGATGTATTTCCCCCAAAACAAAATGGCCGCCAGCTAGCCTGAGATGGTCATGGAATAGTACAGTTCCACACCAATTATTTACACATGTGACTTTCTCACTAAAATAAATCCTCGGCTCTTCGATGGGCAATTTATCATATATATATATATATATATATCAAATGTATATTTTATATAGGAATATAGGAATTTAATCTAGTCTTGTGTAAAGTGAATCCATCGCTGTGTGACTCTAACTTTTCCTAACTCTATGGAATAGGAGAGGCTTGGCAACAGAATTCTCTCCTTCCTCCCCGCTTTCAAGGGCTGTCAATCACTTCCTTGTCCCCGCCTTCTCTGTCACGTGGGGCGCCAAGGACTGCAAAAGAGGCCAAAGAGGGAATAGAAATATTGTTGATACCACACTTCAAGGTTCCCAAATAAACAGCCTGAGGAGGTTTATAGTAGTTTAAAGAGGCCATGACTTCGAAGCCAGCCCAAGTCGGAGTGAGCTCCCGGACATTAACACTCTAGCTTGCTGTTGACCTATAATAAATAATAATCTAATAATAAACAGAGGCTGGATGGCTATCTGTCGGTGGTGCTTTGAATGCAATTTTCCTGCTTCTTGGAAGAATGGGGTTGGACTGGATGATGACCCATGAGGTCTCTTCCAACTCTAGGATTCTATGATTCTATGACTGTTGAGAGCTGTTCAGCAGTGGAACTCTCTGCCTCGGAGTGTGGTGGAGGCTCCTTCTTTGGAGGCTTTGAAACAGAGGCTGGATGGCCATCTGTCGGGGGTGCTTTGAATATTACCTATTTTTGACATTAATATTGAAATCTGAAATATATACAGAAAGTCAAAGTATTTTTGAAATTAATATTGACATTAATATTAATATTGACATTAATACAATAAATTAATATTGACATTAATATTGACACTAAGATTGACATATGAAATATATACAGTAAGTCAATTTTCATGCTTCTTGGCTTCGTGGCCCACCAGGTCTGTTCCAACTCTTATGATTCTATGACTGTGAGAGGTGTTCAGCAGTGGAACTCTCTGCCCAGGAGTGTTCTGGCTTTGAATCAGAGGCTGGATGGCCATTTGTCAGGGTGTTTTGAATGCGATTTTCCTGCTTCTTATCAGAATGGGGTTGGACTGGATGATGGCCCATGAGGTCTCTTCCAAGTCTAGGATTCTATGATTCTATGACTGTTGAGAGCTGTTCAGCAGTGGAACTCTCTGCCTCGAAGTGTGGTGGAGGCTCCTTCTTTGGAGGCTTTGAAACAGAGGCTGGATGGCCATCTGTCGGGGGTGCTTTGAATACTACGTATTTTTGACATTAATATTGAAATCTGAAATATATACAAAAAGTCAAAGTATTTTTGACATTAATACTGAAATTAATATTGACATTGATACAATAAATTAATATTAATATTTACATTAATATTGAAATTAATGTTAACATGAATACAATAAATTAATATTGACATTAATATTGAAATCTGAAATATATACAGAAAGTCAATTTTCCTGCTTCTTAGCTGAATGGGGTTGGACTGGATGATGGCCCACCAGGTGTCTTCCAACTCTGTGATTCTATGAGTGTGAGAGCTGTTCAGCAGTGGAACTCTCCGCCCTGGAGTGTGGTGGAGGCTTTTAAGCTGAGGCTGGGTGGCCATTTGTTTGGGGTGCTTTGAATCCAATGTTCCTGCTTCTTAGCAGAATGGGGTTGGACTGGTTGATGGCCCACCAGGTCTCTTCCAACTCTGTGATTCTATGAGTGTGAGAGCTGTTCAGCAGTGGAACTCTCTGCTCTGGAGTATTGTGGCTTTGAATCAGAGGCTGGATGGCCATTTGTCGGGTGCTTTGAAGGCAATTTCACTTATTCTTAGCAGAATGGGGTTGGACTGGATGATGGCCCACCAGGTCTGGTCCAACTCTGTGATTCTATGATTGTGAGAGCTGTTCAGCACTGGAACTCTCTTCCCTGGAGTGTTGTGGCTTTGAATCAGAGGCTGGATGGCCATGTGTCAGGGGTGCTTTGAATTCAATTTTCCTTCTTTTTGGCAGAATGGGGTTGGACTGGATGATGGCCCACCAGGTCTGTCCCAACTCTGTGATCCTATGACTGTGAAAGCTGTTCAGCAGTGGAACTCTCTGCCCTGGAGTGTTGTGGCTTTGAATCAGAGGCTGGATGGCCATTTGTCAGGGGTGCTTTGAATGTGATTTTCCTGCGTCTTAGCAGAATGGGGTTGGACTGTGTGGCCCAGCAAGACTGTTCCAACTCTAGGATTCTATGACTGTGAGAGCTGTTCAGCAGTGGAACTCTCTGCCCTGGAGTGTGGTGGAGGCTTTTAAGCAGAGGGTCTGTATGATAGCTCACCAAGTCTCTTCCAGCTCTCTGATTCTATGACTGTGAGAGCTGTTCAGCAGTGGAACTCTCTGCCTGGAGCGTGGTGGAGGCTTTGAATCAGAGGCTGGATGGCCATTTGTCAGGGGTGCTTTGAAGGCGATTTTCCTGCTTCTTAACAGACTAGGGTTGGACTCGATGGCCCATCAGGTCTGTTCCAACTCTGTGATCCTATGACTGTGAAAGCTGTTCAGCAGTTGAACTCTCTGCCCTGGAGTGTGGTGGAAGCTTTTAAGCAGAGGGTGGATGGCCATCTGCCGGGGGGTGCTTTGAAGGCGATTTCCCTGCGTCTTAGCAGAATGGGGTTGGACTGTGTGGCCCAGCAGGACTGTTCCAACTCTCCGATTCTATGACTGTGAGAGCTGTTCAGCAGTGGAACTCTCTGCTCTGGAGTATTGTGGATTTGAATCAGAGGCTGGATGGCCATTTGTCAGGGGTGCTTTGAATGCGATCTCCCTGCTTCTTACCAGAATGGGGTTGGCCTGGATGATGGCCAACTTCTATGACTCTTTTTGGGTGAGTGGGATTCCTGATAATGATCTTAGGATTGTTGTTGTGAGAGAGCGAAGCCGCCTGAGCACCGGAAGTGGCGATCCCGGCAGGGCCTCTATACCCCTCTGCCTTTTGTTTTCTTTCTCTCCGGGGACTGGCCCCGCCCCGTCACGTGACGCAGGAGGGCCTGGGCGGGGCGGGGCTGTGAAAGGCGGGGGGCGGGGCCAACGGAGCGGGGCGTCACGTGACTCGGCATGGAGGCGGCGGCGGCGGCTGAGGCGAAGGCGCCCTCCTCCTCCTCCTTCTCCTTCCTGCTGAGGAGCCGAGCTCGGCCGCGGCGGCGAGGGGCGGAGGGCCCTTAAGCGGAGGCCGGGAGAGGGACGCCGAGGACTGAGGGAGGGCGGCCGGCCATGGACTGAGGGGAGCGGCGGCGCCATGGGCAACAAGGAGTCCCGCATCGGCTTCCTCAGTTACGACGAGGCCTTGCGAAGGGGTGAGTGGAGGGCAGCCGGGCGGGGCCTCGCTTGGCGCTTATGCAAATACGGGGGCGGGGCTTCCTCGAGGCGGCACCGCCATTGGCTGGGGCGCCCAGATATGTTGATTAGCAGGATGCAAAGTAGGGTCCTGTCTTGCCCAAGGCTTTCCTGGCTGGAATCACTGGGTTGCTGTTGGTTTTTTTGGACTATATAGCCATCTTCTAGAAGCATTCTCTCCTGACGTTTCGCCTGCATCTGTGGCTCGCATCCTCAGAGGTTGTGTTGGAAACTAGGAAAATGGGGTTCACAGTGTTCCCTCACTTATCGCGGGGGTTACATTCTGGGAACTAATATTATTTGTTGAAAGAGGAGAATATGATGATGATGGTGGTTGTTATTATTATTATTATGGAGTCCTCGGTGGTGCAATGGGTTTATTTATTTATTAGGGCTGGGTAACCACGGAAAAATTTGTTTCTAAACTCGATTCGTTTCCAGGGGGCGCTACGTTTTCAAATTCTAAATACTTCGAGATTTCGAAATTTCGTTATTTACAAAATTTCGTAAATTTCGAATTGATTCGTTAATGGCGGACGCGATTGCGCAATACGCTAAAAAAACCTCCAAATGGGACAGGGGGAACTTCTGAAGCTTCCCTCTCCCTCTGTTGTTGACTGTTGGTGTGATAATTTATTTTTTTATCACTGATAAAACAAACAACAACTATAAAACTTGCACCAGACATACGGAAATAATTACGAAACAATTACAAAACAGTTTCGAAACAATTTTGAACCAATTACGAAACAATTACAAAACAATACGAAATAAATTGGAAAAATTGTTTTGATTTTTAATTACTCCTCACACTATTCCTGCATGGCTGAATATCGGATTGTAAGCTAATTTAAATACGAATTAATAACGAATTACGAAATTAACGAACGAAACCACCCAGCCCTATTATTTATATTTATTTAGATGGGGTGCTTCTACCCTGCCCTTCTCAACCCCCTAGGGGGGACTCAGGGCAGCTTACAAAAGGCGCAATTCGATGCCTAACAATTCACAAAATACAATACAATATACAATACACAAATTTACCATATAATGTCGCAGTTATAACTAATTAAAACAATCAAACAGTGTACTAGCAGCAGTAAAAACATCTTGTAGTCAATGTTCACTAAATCCAAGTCCGTAAACCATTTAGCATTGTCATAGTCCTTTCCTACTCTGGTCATTATTGGTTGTCTTTGTCCATCTGCCAGCTTACCCGAAGGCCTGGTCCCACATCCAGGTTTTTAGCTTCTTCCTGAAGGAGAGGAGGGATGTTGATGTCCTAATTTCCCCGGGGAGTGCATTCCACAGGCGAGGGGCCACCACCGAGAAGGCCCTGTCCCTCGTCCCCACCAGTCTCGCTTGTGATAAAGGTGGGGCCGAGAGCAGGCCCCCCTCAGCAGATCTTAAACTTCAAGGTGGGACGTAGGAGATATGTTCGGACAGGTACGCTGGGCCGGAGCCATAAAGGGTTTTGTAGGTCAAAACCAGCACTTTGAATTGTGCCTGGAACTGGATCGGCAGCCAGTGGAGCTGACATAGCAGAGGGGTGGTATGCTCCCTGTATGACACTCCGGTGAGTAATCTAGCCGCCGCCCATTGGATTAATTGAAGTTTCCGAACAGTCTTCAAAGGCAACCCCACGTAGAGCGCATTGCAGTAATCTATTCGGGATGTAACAAGAGCATGGACCACCATGGTTGTGCCGTCAGGACTGACAGTTCGGAGGTTAAAATCCAAGGATAATAATAATAATAATAAACTTTATTTCTACCCCGCCACCATCTCCCCGATGGGGACTCGGAGTGGCTTACATGGGGCCAAGCCCGGACAACATATTACAGCAATAAAATCGAAGCATAAACAACAGACAACAACATTATCAAAATAACATTAAAAGGAAAAGGAAGAAAAGAAAAATCATAAAATAAACATTCCAATAAACACAATCATGGTAGTGATGACATGGCAGGTCGCATATTCAGGATAAAAACAGTTAAACTATAATGAGATAAAATAGGGAACTCATAAAACACACAGAGTTGTGAGGCTGAACATCCTATTTGGAGAGCACGAACTCCATTGGCAGAAAACGTTGAGGGGTAGCATGGATGAGCTCCCCCTGTCAGCTCCAGCTCCCTGTGTGGGGACATGAGGGAAGCCTCCCAGAAGGATGGTAAAACATCCGAGCAACATCCCCTGGGCAACGTCCTTGCAGACGGCCAGTTCTCTGACACCAGAAGTGACTTGCAGTTTCTCAAGTTGCCCCTGACATGAAATAAATTATTATTTATTGAGACCCCCCCCCTCCCTCGGCACCAACTCCTGCTCTGATCAGAGTGAAGAGAGAGGGTGACAGAAGACAGTTCCATCTTGTCTCCTGTGCTTTACTAATAATATAATATCTATATAAATAAAAATGTTAATGTTCATTTGTGGGATTGACATAACTCAAAAACCACTGGAGAATTGACACCAAATTTGGACACAATACACCTATCAGGCCAAGAGTGACCATCAATCATAAGACACTTAAAAAGCCAAAAATAGATAAAAACACAACACATGCATAAAACCACCCACACATATATATATACACGCAGACACACATATATACACATATACATATGCACACACAAAACACATATACACAGACTGGGCCACAGCAATGCGCGGCAGGGGATGGCTAGTATCTATATAAATAAAAATGTAATGTTAGCTTGTGGGATTCACATAACTCAAAAACTACTGGACGAATTGACACCGGATTTGGACACAAGACACCTATCGGGCCAAAAAGTGACCATTGCTCATCAAAACACAGCAGAAGAGACTTAAAAAAAATCAACAAACAAAAAATACATTACAATGCATGCACAAAACCACACATATATACACAGACACACATATACACACATAAAACACATATACACAGACTGGGCCACAGCAATGCATGGCAGGGGATGGCTAGTATATATAGAAATGCCTTGCCCAATTTACCGGCCATGCTGCTTGCAGTGGGCTTCTTCTTCCCAGAAGCCCCCTGCGTTGAGGGAAGTTTCTCACCACTTGGCCAGCTGGCCAACTGGCAACAGGTCTTGCCCCACCCCTGGATTGGCCAGGGCCGGTTTCCTCACCTTGCCCCAGCAGCCTTTGCAGCGCTGCCCAGGACCTCCGCAGGGCTCCATGGCTGCTGGGGCAAGGTGGGAAAGCCAGCCCTGGCTCATCCAACCTGCGGATTGGCCAGGGCCGGCTTCCCCATCTCGCCGTGGCAGCCACTGAGGCTGCAAAGGCTGCTGGGGTGAGGTGGGGAAGCCAGCCCTGGGCGATCCAACCAGGGACAGGCTTTGCCCCTGGATCGACCAGGACCAGCTTTCCCACCTTGTCCCGACAGCCACAGAGTCTGCGGACTCACTGTTTGGCAGTAAAGGTTTAGAATATTAATTCTAAACCCTAACCACCAAACAGCGAGTTCGCGGAAAGCGAACCGCAATACAGCGAGGGAACACTGTAGATATCTGTGGAAGGTCCACGGTGGCAGAAAGAACTCTTGTCTGTTGGAAAAGAAAATGAAGCAAAATTGCAATTTCTAGCTGTCATCGTCATCCACAAACCGGATCAACAGTTGGGCCACACAGTTTACAGAAAACCTACACACACAGATAGATGCCTACATAAAAACTCCAACCATCGCCCAAGTTTTTTAAAAAAAGAAACACCATTAAAGCCCTGGCAGATGGTGCAAAAAGAATCTGTGAACCCCACCGCATCCAAGACGAACGGAACCACCTAAACTGGGCTCTGCAGGCCAATGGAGACTCCACCTCAGACATCGGAAGAGCTACAAAACCAAGAAGAAGCCACGAGAGTCAAGACAAAGATCCACCCAGAGGAAAAGGGTTCTTGTCATACATGAAGGGAACCACTGGCCACATAGGGAAGCTGATGAGGAAGCACAACCTGCAGACTATCTACAGACCCACTAAGAAAATTCAACCAATAGTCCATTCAACAAAGGACAAGAGGGATCCTCTCCCCTCTGCAGGAGTCTAGCACCTGTGGAACTCACTCCCCAGCCAACTTAGGTCATCTACATCCCTCCTTTCCTTCAGAAAGAAGTTGAAAATGTGGTTGTGGGACCAGGCCTTCGGGTAACATGCTGAGAATGACAATGATAACAATGCTGTGGAAAATGGACTATGGACAAGTTTCTGATTGTGTCTCTGGTCACAGAATTTGATTTAGATAAGGCCAACCAGACAGTCATATTTTAAAACAGATTTTAATTTGAATTGATTTAATGTTTTTTACCTGCATGTAATTATTGTATTTTATTATGCTTTATATAGAGCCATTGAATTGTTGCCGGCTGTAAGCCGCCCTGAGTCCCCCTCTGGGGGTTGAGAAGGGTGGGGTACAAATCTATATAAATAAAAATGTAATGTTCATTTGTGGGATTAACATAACTCAAAAACCACCGGACGAATTGACACCAAATTTGGACACAACACACTTACCAGGGCAACAAGTGACCATCACTCATTAAAACACTGAAAAACACAATGGAAGAGACTTTAAAAAATAAAAAAAAATACATTACAATGCATGCGCAAAACCATATATACACAAATATATATACACACACAAAACACATATACACAGAGTGGGCCACAGCAACGTGTGGCAGGGGACAGTTAGTAGTTGAAATAAATAAATAAAGTATACCATGCAGCTGTGGACAAGTCTACAGAGGGACCACCAAACGCAGCATTGCCCAAAAACGAATCAAGGAACATGAAAGGCACTGCAGACTAATCCAACCAAAGAAGTCAGCCATAGCTGATCACCTATTGAATTGGAGAACACAGAAAGGCTGGACCGCTCTCACAACCACCATTTCAGGCTACACAGAGTAGCCATTGAAATCCACAAGAAGAACATGGACAATTTCAACAGA